CATCCAATCTGGAAAGTTTTCAGCCATTATTTTAAAATACCTTTTCTACTTCCTTTTCTCTGTCTCTTCTTCATGTGATATTATGTATAGTTGGTGTACATGTCTCTGAAGCTTTCTCCATTTTCACTTTTGTCTATGTTCTTCTAAATGAATAATAAGGAATTGAACTTTTCAGTTTTGATACTTCGTTATTCTTATTACTATTAATGTATGTTGTTGGGGCCTTTTGGAGAAATTTTCATGCCTGTTCTTGTACTTTTTACATACAGAATGTCCATTTGGTTATTTTAAAAAATAATTTCTGTTCTTCTATTGCTATCTTGTACTTTATGAAACATGTCTTCATTCCTGCCTAAATACTTCATCCATTTTTCCTTTAGGTCTTTGAGTATATTATTAATGGTTGCTTTGGAGTATATCTGCTAAACTAAAAACCCAGGTCTTGTCAAGAACAGTTTCAGGCCAGGTGGTATTGGCGCATGCCTTTAATCCCAGGACTCGGGAGGCAGAGGCAGGCAGATCTCTGTGAGTTCGAGGCCAGGCTGGACCAACAGCCTCCAAAACAATACAGAGAAACCCTGTCTCGTAAAACCAAAAAGAAAAAAAATCAGTTTCAGCAGTCTAATTTTGTTTCTACATACAGTTTATCCTTTCATATTTCCTTGCATATCTCATAATTTGTTTTATGACACCTAAATATTTTAGCAAATATAGTATAAAATTTCTGGACATTGTGGAGGTCAGAGGACAACTTGTAGGACTTGGTTCTCTCCTTCCATCATGTGTGTCCCAGGGATTGAACTTAGGTCATCAAACTTGACTACACCCTCTGAACCATCTTGCTAGGCCCAGGTTTGTTCTTCAACTTAGTGACTTAGATGAGCTGATTCCCTGAAGTTTATTTCCACCTTATCCTGCAGCATCTGAAAATGTAACTCAGATATATTTTTTTTTCTTGATTTTAGGTGTTTTTCCCCCAGACAACTCAGGTTTCATCCCTGGTCCATAATAGACCACTAATCATTTTTTGTCAAAGTGTGTGGTTAAGTAACTTTTTCCAGTTTGAGTTTTTACCATTTTATATTACATTTTTTTGTGGCTTGGAGGCTGCCACTACAATGTAAGGAGTTAAACCTGGCTTCTTAGGAATTGTCACTGGATCAGAGCATTATTTGGCCAGTGGTTGGTGGTCATAGTATTAAAATCCATGCCAATGGGGTTGCTCCTGTTTGCTGTTTGATCTGAATGTACCTTGGGTACTGGCTTCAAGTTCACTTTCTGTCCTATTCTGTTTGTTTCTTAGTGGGTACCAGTTTGTGTTTATGCAAACCCTTGCTTACAACTGGAATTAACTGCCATCTCAAGAAACATTCCTTGATTGTCTTTTTTTCTATTACCAAACTTCTGACTATCTGGCTATTTTATTTTTTTGCAAGTTGTATAATATGGAGTTATAAGCGCCCTCTTAATTATTATCTGTCATGATGTATGACCTATTTTACTTCAGACAATGTCCTTAGACCTGAAACGCTTGATAATTTGTTCTAGGTAAAGTCAGTTCCTTTAGGTAAGACATGCAGTTCAACCTTAATGCTTGCCTCTTTCTCAAAGCTGAACAATTTATGCAAAATTGGAAGTAGACACAATGGCGTGTTTCTTCCAGAGAGAAATCCCTTCATTATGGATGAGGACTGGGGTAGTTTTGAACTTACTCCATCCATTATGAACCTTTGATCTATGAGCAATCTTGAGCTGGGGCAATGGAGGCCTAGTTTTGACAGCTTGCTATGTTTGGGTGTGTGTCTCCACCCTTCAAGTTGAGGAAGATAAAGCTGGATGGGAGCTGGGTTTTGGTGGTGCACGCCTTTAATCTCAGCACCCAGGAGACAGAAGCAGCTGGATCTCTGTGAGTTTGAGGCCAGCCTGGTCTACAGAGCAAGTCCAGTTCAACCTCCAAAGTAATACAGAGAAATCCTGTCTCGGAAAAAAAAGCTGGATGAAGAGAAACCCAGTCTTTTTGGGTCTATCTATGATATACCTTCCACAATCTAAAACTGGGGAAAATGATAGCAGTCAGAGGCTTGTTCCTCCAGGTGAAACCAGTCTTAAAATAGAAACGTGTTAGCTTTTGGCATAATTTATTCAGAATACATAAACTATAATCATTAATTCTTTCCTTTGCTGACACACTTATGGCTATTTTAGACCTTAGTTGGTACCATTTTTTAAGGAAACTTGCATGCACTGGAGATATTTACACACAGCACTGATTATTCCATCATCTTGGATCCCTCATTATCCTAAAAGAATACCTTTCATGGATCACTCAAATTTATGTAGAATGAATGAACAGAAATTACTTTCTTTAACAGAAACAAGCTGTCTTCCCATAAAAAGTTACGACTGATATCTTACATCTTAGGTGAGTGTTTATTCAATGTATTATAATTCTAATCTCCCCTTATTAGATGTGTAAGACTCATAAAGTCATTTCCAATGACCTTTGTGGGGGACCCTTCTAACCTACCACAGTATGACTTTTTAAAGGTCTCCTGGACAGAGTAGACTTTATTTTGTAGAGTTAATAAGCAGGACTAAAAATCTCAAAAATTCTTATTATATTTTAGGTTTTTGATAATGAAGGAAAGCTTTGCACCTCTTGGTTAAACTTATTTATTAACACTCTTATCAGAAACTATATTTTATTAAACCTGTGAGTATCTCCATTTCCCACTTCCAAATGAAAACCCTGCTAACAAAAAAATTGAAGCAGTATTTTGGTATGTTACCCAGGCTTGTCTCTAGCCCCTGGACTCAGCTGACCTCCTGACCTTAGTCTCCTATGTAGCCAGAAATGCTACTGTGCCTCAACCCCAACTTGAATGGTCCTATATGTGTAGCCTTAAATAATGTAATTATTATCATTTACTAATCTTACATAAAATATATGATTAGCAGCAATGGGTATCCTTTATCTCTTGAAAAAATTTTAGTCTCAACAAATTAGAATTATACATAAATTTTCAAAGCATGTTACTTGCCCTCTACAGCCTAAACCTTATTATATTCCACGAAGACCAATACAACGTCTCCAATAAAAGCTGACGAGGTATGCCACCCAATGGATGTAGCATAGTATTGCACCCACAAAATATTTACTATACTATCCCAAAGAACATTTGTAATTCCCCTGGGGTAGTCCTCAACCATGTCAGAGTGACAGATGTAGGCAGAAAAACAAAAGTGGTTACTAAAGTGTAAGGATTTGAAAACAATGCCATGAAAATAGCCAGACGACCAAGAAAGAAGTAATGATGTCCTTGAAAAACAAAATTATGCAGGTTCCCCAGCTGTCAGTCCATAGTCTGCGTGGCACCAGGACCTATCCCAGGTGCATGAACTGGCTTTTTTTGGAACCCATTCCCTTTGCTGGGATACCTTGCTGAGACATGATACAGGGGGCGGGGCTGGGTCCTGCCTCAGCCTGGTATGCCAGACTTTGTTGACTCCCCAAGGGTGGCCTTACCCCATCTGAGGAGCAGATAGGGGGTGGGAAGAGGGGGTGGGGATGGGAGAACTGGAGGGAGGGGGGGTTGATCTGTAAAATGAAAAATAAGTTTTAAATAAAAAATTCAAACCTGCAATGAATGATGAAATACAATTGATAGCAGCACTAGAGTTCGGGTCAAACTACAGAGACCAGGGAAGACCGTCATTTTTTACCCATTGGCTACAAAATTCAGTTTTCTAAACTGCTCTTTCAATATCACCTGGATTTAATCATTGCTTACTGAGAACTGATCACATTCCAAGCAAGGCAGTGTTCCAACGCTTTCATATAGATTGCCATTTACTCCTTTCATAGTCCTACTTGCAGAGTTTACTTTCTCTTGATGCCATCTGCTCATGTTCAGGGCACCTACAGATTCCTGTGTTGTCTACACAGTTTAATTGTGGAAGAATCACAGTATAGGGAACTGAAAAACTTGTGCAAGTCTGTGTTTGCAAGGATGAAAGACTTGCCTCAGAAGAAACAAACAGGTAAAGAATGTATATCACTAGAAGGAAAGGTTAGATGACCTAGGAAATAGTCTATGGCCTCGATCCTATGATATGTTAAGGAGAGCTCTGAGAAATCCACAGCTATTATGTAACATCACATTAATGATGGCTGTAGACATTTCTATTATTTGAGAGCAATTCTCTGCCTGCCCTACGAGAATGAAAACCCGCGAAGATAAATGCAAGGCATGCAAATTGGGAGTACTGTGCTCATTTCTAGTGACACGATGGGGTTGTTGTGTTAGTACCTCAGAGACGCCTAACACCTATTATATGGACTACCAACATAGATGAAACAGTAGAAAATGAAGTGAATGACGCCCAAGAACAACCTTTTTTCCTGGACAGGATCTCACTGTGTAAACCTGGCTGGCCTGGAATTTACTATGGTCTCAAACACACAGGAGCCTCTCCCTCCTGCGAGCTGGGATTAAAGAGGTGTACAACCATGTTATTCAAGAACAAACTTTCAGTGATGACTTTTTTCTAGGAAACATTTTACTAGTCAATTTTTATACAGGGTCAACATATCCTAGGCCTATGAATCTTCTGTAAACTTTAATCATAAATTTTAAGTACGGGGCCAATGATTTTCTATATAGCATTACCTTATTTATACAGCACTTTATACTTTTCAAAGAGTTAATATGAAGACTGCAGTAGATAACACAAGACAGTTATCACTTCCAAAGTATATAGGCTCAACATAGCACTTCTAAGAAGGAAAAACTAGGGGGTGCATGCAAGACACAATTCTATCAGTTCCAAACTATATTTTCATGAGTGAACTTCATCTGTTAAGAATAACAACTTACCTGGCATGGTGGCACACTTACATTACATAATACTATATATAAGAGATACTATATATGGCATACAAATTACTCTACAGGAAAATAGATTCTAAGGCTTATTGTTGAAAACAAATGAAGGTTCACCTGGAAAACTGAAAAACACTGGAATCCAGAGACTTAAGTTGAAGAGGTGATTTGTATTCTTCTCCAACAGATGGAAGCAGGTTAGGGCTATTGATTTGCTCATATCCAATTGTCTTGTCATTTAGTTCAGCCATATCTTGTGCAGTAGGACTCTTTGGTGGATTACTGAGGACCTAGCAAGAAAGAAATAGTTCATAAAATCCCAAGTTTTAACAAAATACCAGAAGATGTGTCAATTCTTCTGATGCTAGGAAAGAATGCTTAGCCAAATAAAAAGAATCTGTTTCCTAAACAGAACAAACAGTGCACAGAATGTACACTAGAACACTGAACCCAAACACATTCAGTCACTAACCTTGTCAACTAGACACCAACAGACTGCTCCCAACTCTTGTATTGGTTACTAGACCTATCCCACCCACAACACAAACCCAGGCCCCAATCGCTGTCTATTTCGTTCTTGCGACCCAGGTGAAGGCCGGGCTTTCATCCTTTCGAGCTCTGTGTTGAAAATATGGGTGGAAAGGAAAAGCATTGCCGCAAGTATCTGCTGGTTTAGGAGAGACACATGCCAGAGGCTACCATATGTTCACAGTGCACACAACAGAGACATGCACCTGGGATCTGGTAGGAGAGCCAGCATATGAAGAAAATACGAATAATTAGGGTGAAAGAATAAAGGGAAGGCAAACTGAATGAGGACAGGGCAGTCCAGGAGATCCCGATGTCTGTATAGACATGGGATATGAAACGTGATTGCTCATATGCCTCAGCTCGAGCAGGGTCCATGAAAAAGCATTAGCATTAAACTGCCTCTCTCCTCATTAGTCTCACCTGCCCGGCTAGGGAAGGGAGTGAATCTAACATGCCACTAGCAGATCTCTGGGAAATAGGATCAAGAGGGAAATCATGCAGAAAGGCAAGGAGGGGTGGGAGAGATATATGGGTGCTATGGTGGCTGTCAGGAAAGGAGTGTCCCTGAAAGGACGGCCAACCTTATTGCACCCTTCAGCGTCCGGAGCTGGGCAACCATGTCCGAGAGACAGTGCTCCTGAAAATTCAAAACAGCAGAGTCTTTATAAAGCCAGCCAGCCTGAAAGCAGGGATGGGGGGGACGGAGAGGCACAAAGAACCAACCCTTCTTCCCAAGAGAAAAGAGGAAGGAATGATCCCTGAATCCCCAAAGAAAGGAGACAGGAAAACCAGACACTCAAGAGGAGCAGCTTATGAAGATGGCTATGTGACAGCAAATGTGTCATTCCCACTGCCCGGAACCCAAGTCTGCAAAATAAGTGATGTGACTCTTCTGTTTACATGATCTGAACATCAACAGCAGAAGAGCAACACAAAACCCAAAGAGCCAATCCAAAGAAGAGAGCGTGAAAAGAAACCCTCAGCAATGCTATGCAGCGTTCTCCATCCTGAATCCTGTGTTGGAGGGAAAAAGGTGTGAGAAGACAAAGACATGGACCTGTGTCTCACCTGCTTGTCACTTCCCACGGTCTGCTGCTGCTTCTTCTCAACAGTTTCCTCTCTAGAAGACAAAAAGCACTATTTAGATTCTGGAGACCAATGTAGGATTGTAAACTCAAAGCCAGCCTGGTCTACAGAGTGAGTTATAGGTGAGTCTAAGCTACATACTGAGACTGTCTCAAAATTAGGTGCTATTTAGTTCACTCATGAAGTTCAGAGAAACTAGGGCTATATTCCAGAATCATATGACTGGAGAGATTTCAAATTCTCATTTATAATCTCTCTCTGTGCCTCTCTGTCTCTGTCTCTGTCTCTGTCTCTGTCTCTGTCTCTCTCTCTGTCTCTCTCTCTGTGTGTGTGTGTGTGTGTGTGTGTGTGTGTGTGTGTGTGTGGAGCAGGGGGGAGAATGAATGAGCAGATGACAAGTTGAGGCATTCTGCATTGTGTGAGTTACAAGAAGGAAATGGCAGAGCAAACAGGCAAGGAAGGCAAGCTCCAAAGATAGCTCCCTTCTCAAATCAGTATCTTATTATAGGGAGAGCGGTTTCTCCATTCTAGGATGTGGAGCACCATCTCATATATACTCAACTGTTGCTTAGCCTTGCTCAGGTATAAGTCTTCATCAATGCGTTCTTGTTCTTCCGGAACAGAGCATCTCCTGTAGTATAGAAAGGAGATCATCTTTCAGAGACAAAATATGGTCCTAGCTTTTACTCTATACTTCCCTCAAGGGATAGCTTAATGACAGAGCAGATCAACAATTGGGTAACAGTATAAAGTTAGGATCCCATTCACACTACAAAAGCGAGCTATACATAAAGCACTGAGAAGGGAATTTCGGGAAGAAAAACCAAAAGCACAAATTTATTTTGTGGCCAAAGTAATTCTGAGAAAATAACAAACAAACATGAATATCAATTGGAAATTGCATTGTATTCATTTTGCAATGGAGTAAAGTGGCTTAGAAGGCTCTCTCCTGGCCTATGTGTGAACAGATAAAAGATAGCACATTCAAAAGAAGAAAACATTCACAAAGAAACTTCTAGTAGTCAATTTCATAACCTGGCCACACAGTTTCGTTTCTTCTCCACAGAAAGGTGTTTAGGCCCACGTGGAGACTATGAGGGATGCTTACAAATTACAGTCCTAGCCTTCACTCATTTACTTTCTTCCACTAGACATTTTCTCTAAAAATAAAAAGCATACTATGTTGGATTACCTTCTTTTTTTACCAGCATGTGATTCCCCCCCCAAAAAAGACTATGTAAAAAAGTACAGCCAGAATGAAGCAGAGTGACTTATTGGGAGCCTATGTAAGTACTGAGTTGTGTCAGGCACTGTTTGGATGTTGGCTGCTATAAGGAAGATATGGCACATTAGGAACACAAACAAGCAAACAAACAGTATTGAATGTGCAACAGATTCTATTTACATTGGTTCTACAGAAGAGGCATATGAAAGCTATTGACTCAATGTGGAATGGAAGGAACATAGTCTTAAAGAATTTAAAAGCTTTGTGGATTTTAAAAAATGAACACTTGAAAAATACCCCCCCAAAAAATGGCGAATGAACAAATACACTTCAGGAGCCCATTCCCCATGGAAGGATACTATCTCAGCCCAGTTACATTGAGGAGGTCCTAGGCCCTCCCCCAAATGATGTGACAGACTTGATGATCCCCATGGAAAGCCTCACCCTCCCTGGGGAGTGGATGGGGGTGTGAGATTGGGAGGTATATGGGGGGCGTGGGAGGATGGGAGGGAGAGGGAACTGGGACTGACATGTAAAATAAGATTGTTTCTTAAAAAATAAATTTAAAAAATGGCATATGAACAAAAGTCAAGAATCAAATGGTGCAGGAGGTGAGAGTAAAATCATTGAAATTTGAATAGGATCATGGATACAGAGATTCAATTAAGAGAATGGACACTGTCAAAGTAATAGAGGAGAGAGTAACCATGGCACATTTGGGATTTTGATAAAGTGTAGTGAAAAATAAGGTTACATAGATAGTTAAGATGGGGCACAGTCACCACAGGGTGCTTGAATACCGGGCTAAGGAAGGTAGATTTGTTATGAAGTGGTTCTGTGAAACAGGATGACAAATCCGGAGTTATGGAAAGAATAATGAGCCTTAGAAGCTTACCTGTATTTTGGATGGGGATTATAGTAACAAAACCATCTAGCAGGTAATGTGCATGGATCCACCTTTCCAGGAAGTTTCCTCCACTTAAGACATTCATCACACTGTACCCATGTCTGGTCAGGAATATTCCTGAGAGAAGAAAGACAGAAATGTTATTGTACAGATCCTAGCTTTGTGCTTTGGCCTACATTTAAAAGGTATGTCCTAAAAAGGAAAAAAAAAATATGTGGAAAATAGGCTAGAAATCTTATAATCTTGACATCTGAAATGTGTGTATTTTGAACAACATAGATGACTATACCACATGTGGACACAAAAGTATTAATCTATGATTATTTATAGAGGTTAATAATATTTATTCTAGAATTCTTTTTTTAAGAAAATAGGAATTTTTTTACCTCTAAGATTTATTAACCTGAGAAAAGCATGTGTGTCATACATTTCTATAAAGAAATAAAACCATCAAATTGTTTTATTTGCTTGTCCAATCACCGAACAAATTTTACATTTATAGGAGGCACAGAAGCAGTGTCATCAAAATCTTTCTCCTACTTCCCTGCACGTTTCTGCTTTCTTTTTTTCCTTTCAAAAACAGTCCTTTGGGTTTAGGGGTGTAGCTCAGCATACAGCTTGCCTAGCATGAACAAGGTTCCTAGTTTGAGCTCTAGCATAATATCCAAACCATGTGTTTATAATGCTGCAATAACGCTATTACGTTGACATTCCCAATATGCACCATGAAAGGCAATATAATTTGATTAAGTTTCCTAACTATTCATGACAGCTCCAACGATTGGTTGAAATTATTAGAATAAACTTATCCAGAGTCGAACTCTTCAAATGCATATCCACCCTCATCAATTCCAGAAGTGTGCAACCCAATCACTTGGAGATTAAAGTGAATTCATTTCCCTGTGGAAAGGAGTAGCATGTATGTGAGAGAAGGTATAGACAGTGTGAAAAGTTGTATTGGAGAGAAAAAAGGCTGGTGAAAAGACACAAGGAGAATAGAGGCACTTCAGGCTCATTTTACTACCAGGGTGGGCTTTGAATATGTTGTATTTTACTGCTTCAATAAAGTGCTATGTCTCTTTTATGACTTCTTTCAGTAATTTTTCATTGTTTTAAATCCTGCTTTTTAATTACTACTTATAAAAGTAGCACTATCCCATTATGGAAAACTAGAAAATACAGAAATATATAAAGAAGAAAATAAAATGTATGTGTGCCACTTAAATGCAATGACCTCTTCTTAAAAAATCTATTTAGTCAAGCTTTCCAAAACGTTTGGACCTCCTTATTGCTCTAGGTTGCTCTAGACTTGCAACCTTGAAGCTCAAAGCTCAGGTCTGACCTCTTCTATCTGTTATTCCCACACAGCTACAGAGCCAGACCCCTTAAAAAGCAGTTTCAGCAGGAGTGGAAGAGGAGAGGAAGGGTCGTGTTAGCTTTGGTTTTACATGTATTTGCACAGAGAATGTCTTATAGAAAGACGCCTGTATTATTCTTGAGGAGAAGAACACTAAAAGGCACTCTCTGTTAAGGGCTAAAAACAGACCATGGTGTATCCTTCAATCCTGTCAGAAAGAAGGGTATTAGAACTTCTATTTGTAGTAAATACGAAATTAAAGGAGCTGGACTATATTGCCCTTGCTATATCACTCCAGAAGAGTGTAGCTTCAGGGATTTGGTTGCTTAATTTAAACCTCAGCTCTAGATCTACTTTGTTCTGCATGTCTAATCCTGTGCAAACAATGTAAATTCTTAGTGTATGGGGCTTTATATCGCAAAGAAATAATAACTGTGTACTGAGAGTTTTGTGGGTTATTGAATAAATTATTACATGAAAGGAACTAAGAGCAATTTCTGGAATTTAAGTAAATACTCAATAACCTCTATTATTAAAATTCTGATGCTAGAGAAACATTTAAAGAAATGTTCAACATCCTTAGCTATCAGAGAAATGAAAAACAAAACTAATTTGAGATTTTTATCTTATACCCATCAGAGTGGCAAAGATCAAAAACACCAATGACAGCTTAGGCTGGAGAGGATGTAAAGTGAACACTCCTCCGTTCCTGGTGGGAGTACAAACTTGTAGTTTCTACTTGAAAAACTAGACACCTCTCCTCGCATGAGAGAGGCAGTGTGATTTCTATCACTTTAATATTTAGTATGGTGATGTTATAGCTAATTGTATGTATGCTGTTATGCAGCCTGCCTTCAGGGTTGATCTTTTTCTCCTTACCTACTAAGGCATAGATCCAGTAACCTCTACTGTTTCTCTTATATGTTTCATTCTCTATTTCTGCTCTGAAATACCTGTTTAGTCCCAATAAAATTTAGCAAGAATAAAAAGAAAGAAGGTTTGTTAACATGTCTAAACACCTACTCTATGTCACTAACTGCTCAAAAATCATGGAGCCTAATTCAATACAAAGACGTGAAGTCACTCACTTATCAAAGTGCGCTCAACTATCAAGAAGCTGGTCTAGACTTTCCACCAAGGAGGGTCTGATTTAAATAGCCATAATCCTCCACTATATTAGTCTCTCATAAACTGACAGCACTAAACCCATTACATTTATGATACAAACCACACAAGTCTTAAATCAGAATAAAGAGGTAAAATGATGTAATTAGTACCTGTGCTTTCTTATTGCTAGTTAACTAACCTCCCTGGTGTGAAAAATATTATTTTATCCTTTTTTCTTCCATTTGATGGAAGGACATTACCCTTAATGTTTTCATAGTATATATTTTATTACTTATAATACTGGCCTGCATGTAAATATGGTCTCAAAATTCTGTTGAGATGTTTTTTCCTTCCAATAGGCATTGAGTTTCTGGGAAAGAGCATTTATTATGGACCTGAAAGAAAATGCAAGGAATATGTCAAAGTTCAGCACTTGAATAATTTTTTTACTTTTCAAAAGCTCCTATTTAACAGAGTCCAGCAATTTAGAATAATCAGCATAATTTTGAATACCCACAACTTTAAAAATTAACATAGGAGTTAACTGCCTTTGAGAAGTCCTATAATACAACAATAATGAAAACTATAACAGAAAAACTATACCATAATGTTAATATCATAATGATTGATAGTCACTTTGGCCATGAAGTTAAAATGATTGTAAGATCCAAAAAAGTAAAATGGTCTAGGTTTTTTCAAGGCTTGTAGAATCATGCAATGAGTATGTTGTCATTGTCATTAGAGAATGTGACAGAATGATGACAGAGATAAATACTGACGAATTAATAATTTTCAGATGATGATAGGGGCATAATTTAGGATCAAATAGAAACATTACAGGCTCTTACAGAAAACCTTATTTACTAGAAATCAATCAAATATTAGCTTTATCTGTCTTAAAGTTCCTCTGCATCAAAACACTAATCACAGCAGCAAGCACTAACATGGAAAATGTTCCTTCAACATTTTTCGACAACACTATTATTAGAAGCTGAATCTGAGTTTGCTTTCTTGTCTAATGAAAATTCCTATCAAATTCCATCCCCCAGGATTACAACTTAATGTAAATGTATACATACCTGGAACACTATAAACGTGAGAAATTTCAAACCTCTCTTCACCCTCGGGATCATTATTCAGTATCTTTGCAGATCTTCTCTTCAGTATACCTCTTCCTTACCACCACCCTACTTATTTTAAAGTAGATTCTCACTACATACACGAGACTCATCTACATACATAATCAGGGACAAGTTCCTGTATTAACTCATTCTTTCACTATTACCAATACTTCCACCTCTCTGTTGATAGCCTTCCCTCAATCATACACAGCCATATACTTTAGTTTCCTCCTCAAGGCCTACTTGATAAAGAAAATTTGATGAGTTGCTGGGAAGATAAGTAGGAGATATGTCTAGATAACAAGTGCCCTGGAAGAGTCTGCCTGACCACAGACAAATAAGATTAATAGGAAAAATGTTCCTTCAACATTTTATTGCACAACTGTTACAGGATCCTGAATCTACTTCAGTTAGTATTTAACAATCGGTATTTTGGTGCACTTAGATGGCAAGCTGTGGTTAATTTTGGTCCATCGCTGTTCTTAGCAGAGTAATAGCTATACATTCTCCACCTCTAGTGCCATAACAGAGAATCCTGCAGGTGCTCCACAAGCCACTGATAAGAACCATGATAGGAAAAAAGGTTGCCATCCTACAAAGATAGTGACATGTGCTCTCATTGCTACTATTTTTGATCACACAACAGGCAAATGGCCTTTTCTGTTATGTTCTCTATGATTACAAGTTTCTCCTCTAGTTAAAATGATGCCCAGGACATTCAAAGTGATAGAATTTTATTTTCACATATTTTCCTGTTTGAGGAGTCAGATGTTAAAAACTAATGCACTCAAAAGCACAAACACACATATATACATGCACATATACGTACATATATATACATAACCACACATATATGCACTAGAGAAAATTAGAACATGACTATAACTTTCCAGAGGAAAATACAGGTTCATAAAACAAGTGAGAAAACTTTAAGATTACACTCTACCTGGTCCCTGGTACAGAGTTAGCTTATAGCAAACCACACCACTGACACCAAATAAACAAAATCAACAAAGCTAATCCTAGGAAAGGGGGGAAGAATCTCATTTCCAGAATTACTGTGTTATAAAGACCACAATGCATACAAAGAAACACAAAAATGTGTTATGATAAAAGAAAAATGAAATCCAAAGAAATAGTCCCTGAAAAAGTTCTGGCTTAAAGATGCTCCAAAACCCTAAGGAAGGTGTGAAGGTAGACAAGTTCAAACAGTCTTTGAACAAAATGGAAATGGTAAGAAGAGGACAGACAAAAGCTAAAAAATAAAATAAAATGCAGAATTGAATAGAATAGCTAAAACAGACAATTCACTTGATGGAGTCAAAGGCAGGACAGACAAAAGTATCTGGGAGCTTAAAGAAATTCTAAAATTGAAGAACAATAAGAGAACATTTAGAAGATGGAAATAAAGTCTAAAGGACATGTACAGCACCACCTGTGGTTCACCATAGGCACTGTAGAAGTCTAAATTGAAAAGAGACACATGCATCTTAAATGTAATCTCTCTGGAATATATATATATATATACATATGAAAAGAATTTAAACATTCCACTATAAAATATCACCTAAACATAAAACAGCGATTTAGGAAATGAGAGAAGCAATAAAATGTATTGCCAAATGACAGTCATCTTCCCTTACTAATGATTACTTTAAATGTAAATTTATTCAACCCAAATTCATAAATATATGATGCCATATGATATGACAAGAAGAATATTGGTCCCTTGAGATGGTTCAGTGGGTAAAGTTTGCCATCCAGTTTCATGTCCTGAGCCTGCATATGCTCACATGTGCGCACATACATATAAATATTTTTTAAATCAATAAAAAAGAATATGGCAGACTGTGATGCCTAGAAACAGTGCTACTATAAAAATACCTAAAAATGAGGAAGTTCCTTTGAAAGTGAAAATTGGCAGTCTGGGATATCTCGGAGGATCAGGAGTTCAGGGTCATCTTAAGGTTACACAGGACTCTGTTTAAAAACAGAATAAAAGGAAAATAAAGAAATTCGGCTAAGGTTTGAGAAAAATGCCAGAGTCTAACTGCACCGAGTAGACTTTGAATAGACATACGGATGGATGTTAACTAAACTGGGGAGGGCTCTGAAGGAAGTGGAGAAGCAGGGTAGAGAACCTAGAAATTGCCTTAAAGACTGCCCAAATAATTGTAAGTAGAGTTAGAAACACAGATGGTAAAGATACTACTAACCAAGGCTCAGGGGAAATGAGCCAACACATTACTGGAAAATCTGAAATATGATCCTAGCTACATAGTCACAGAAAGCTTAGCAGAAACATGTCCTGTAGTTCCATGGATAGAACAGCTTGGAAATGATGAATTTGTACATTTGGCCAAGGAACTCTCTAGATAAACTGCTGAAGCTGTGTTCTCTGGCTGGTCATGTAAAATGCAGGAAAGAAAAGATAAATGAAAAGAACTGATAATGCGAAAGGAACCAGAATTTGACAATCTGGAATATTCTCAGCCAGTCAAAACCACAAAGGATATCAAAATGTACAGATTCATTGTTAGGACTGTGAGCTCTGTGAATGAAGAGTAGGGTTGGACCATCATTAGCTAATATCTCAGTCAGATCAAAAGGTCAAAATATTCAGCCACATACAAGGCTCTTTGGGATTATTAAGCATGTGACCTGTGACCCATGGACCTCCACAACCATCTCAGCTGAGGACAAGAAGAGAAATAAGATTATCTACGGAAAATCACTCTAGAAACTTTGTTAAGTGGAATGAATATTCATCACATCCATGGAAGACCTACAAGGATTTTTGTTGTTGTTGGGTTTTTTTTGTAGCTTTGGAGCCTATCTTGGCACTCGCTGTATAGACCAGGCTGGCCTTGAACTCACAGAGATCCGCTTGCCTCTGCCTCCCGAGTTCTGGGATTAAAGGCGTGTGCCACCAATGCCCGGCGACCGACAAGGTTTTGGAGATGGCAGGAGCACAAACACATTCAGCTCTGACTTACATGAATAAATGGGGGAGAATATACAACAAAAGAATCACACTGAATTTTTAAAAATATATACATTACAAGTAACATTATACACACCGAGAAGACTGTAACTAGGACTATGTATGTATACACACATACATATGTGTATATAACAATGACTACTGAAAAAAATAAGTCATGAATTTGAAAGAGAGCAAGAAGAGGTATATGGGAAGGTTTGGAGACAGAAAAGAGTTAAAGAAAATGATGTAATTATATGATCATCACAAAAATAAAATAAATATTTAAAAAGAGTCTAGTGACAATAACCTGATGAAATTACTCTGCTGTAAAAATATACATACTAGTCTTCATGAACAGGTAATTTTGAGAGTTGAATCATAGCCCAGAAGGTGCTTCGATGATAGGGGGCAGTGTTGTAAGCCTCAGAAAATTATGCTTGGTCATTGATATTTAATGGAATTTGCATAACTGGATTCATGAAATTGCTTGGTACCTGTAACTCCTTTTCTTTTCACTTTAAACCTCACTTGACACAGAACTTTTATATAACTGGTGTCCTGTGAGTCTCCTGCTATTATAGCAGTAAAATATGAGAGAGAGAGATATTATCCCCATGTACATCAGAATTAGATATGAAATATAGGACTTCTGAGATGATGACACTTAGCTAAGACTTTAGACTGAAACTTTTGATGATGTTGGGATGGGATAGAGCAAGTACTTTTTGATTGTTGATGCACCGGAGGACAGACTGACAAATAAAACAGTAGTCTTTCAAAGATGTCTAGGTAACAATCCCTAAAATCTGTGACTGTCTAAGGTTATACACAGTAAGAGAGTTATTGTTACTTATCTGCTGACCTTACAGTAGGAAAAGTATTCTAAATGTCCAATGTACGCACAGGCCTTCAAGTGTGGAAGAGTGAGCCAGAGGAGTCAGAATCAGAGGAGTCAATGTGATTATGGAAACAAGTTACTGGAATGATGCAATGTGAGGAGGATGCAACTCATCACTGCTGACTTTGAAGTTGGAGAAGAGGGCCTTGGGCCAAGGAATGCTGGCAGTCTCTAAAATTGGAAAAGAAAAGGAATCGGATTCTCCCTTGGAGTCTCCAGAAAGGAAGACAGCCTGCCAACACCTTGATTTTAGCCCAGTGAGATCTGAGTAAGATGTCTAACCAACAGAACGCTAATACAGTCAATTAGTGTTGTACTAAGCCACTAAATTTATGGTCAATTGTTACAACAATAGAAGATGCTTTCTGCTCGTTGTAGACAAAAGTTGAGGATCACTGTTCTTGCGTAAAATATAAATTATCATCTGGATCCTCTAAAACCATCAGATATAACTTGGCACATAGTTCAGAAATAGGGGTTCTAATAAAAGGGTGTGCCAATGATAGCCTGTTGGGTACACCCTCCTTGCTGCTTGTTTTGTGAACAAAATTGTACTAGCACAATACTCACTCCTTTACTTACTGTCAATATATACTTTCATACTATGACAGAATTGAGAAGTTGGGTAAGAGACTGTGTGGTCTACAATGACTCTCTGACCTTCTCAGAAAATATTTGCCAATGTCTGCTTTAGGATCTGGCCCTCCATTAACCATTTTGTTTGCTGTTTCTTCATTTATGTACATCACCTTATCTCCATTTGCCCCTCAGAGTTCTTGTCACTACAGTAGCTCAAACAACTGTGTACCAGCACTCCTTTCCTTTTAGACATCCTGTATCCTTTTAAGTTTGTAGTATGTATTTATACTTGTGGGTGTTTTCTCTGCAGGCATGTCTGTATACCACATGTGTGCCTTGTGCTCATGGAGACAAGAAGTACCTGTTGGATCCCCAGGAGCTATTGTTGTTTGCTGGCTTTTTTGAGACAAGGTTTCTCGGTGTAGTCTTGTCTGTCCTGGAACTTGCTCTGTGGACCAGACTGGCCTCGAACTCAGAGATCCATTTAATGCATATCTTACTTAATATAATCTACCTAAAACTTTCCTTATCTGTCTCATCAGAGCATTTTCCCTGTATAGAACCAAAGAGGTCTATGAGCCATTTTAATGCTATTCAGTTGTTTTCAGGTGTGTGATAATCTATTATTACAAACAGAATGCAAAGTCCTTAAAGTAAGCAACTATGTTTTGAAATTCTTTGGAAGATTCTACAAAACCTATTCACTGTGTTATGTGTTAATGGCTTGCTCAGTTAAATGCTTTGGTTGCTTTTTTAAGGCAAAGTTGACTCTATAAATGTTTTAAGTTTGAACCATGATATTTATAGCTAAAATCTAATATCTGGGTTGTTCAAAGTAATGTATTACAGATGATTTCTTCATAGATATTCTAGTAGTATGATAGTTGGTTTTATTATTTGTACTTTTGGATCTGTAATAGTCACAGGAGGAATTTGTGACAGCAAATAATGTTATCTAATCCTTCCCTCAAATTCCCATTTTTGAGAGGGACAAGTGGAATGGAGGGTCTTGCTATATAGATGAGGCTGCCCAAGAACTCATTATGTGGCCCAGGCTGCCCTTGAATTCACAATCCCATGGCCATAGCCCCTGGGTGTTGGGATTAGTATCTGGTTTCAAATTCCCATGTTTTTATGTAAACTCTTTCTCACTTTGTATGACGTGTACGTAACGGGCATTAGGACTGGGGATTTAGCTTAGTAGTAGAGTTTGTGTTTGCATATGCAAGGACCTGAGTTCAGTCCTCAGCATAAAGGCATAGGACATGGTGATTCATTCCTATCATCACAGCACTTGTGAGATGTGGGCAGAAAGTACAAGAATTCAAAACTACCTTCAGTTGCATAGTGAGTTTGAGGCAAGCATGAACAATATGACATCATGTCTTTGAAAACAGTGGAGCTAAATGGATGAATCTGTGGCTAAGTGTGTTGCTGCTCTTGGAGAAGGACCAAAGTTCAGTTCTCAGCACCCACACAGCAGTTCACAACCGTCTGTAACTTCAGTTCCAAGGGACTTGATGTCATCTTCTGCCATTCACCCAGCACCAGGCATACATGTGGTATACATATACACATGCAGGAAAAATTACCATACACATAAAACAAAAATAAATATTTTAAAAGTAGATGGCATTGACACCCAAACTGGGTAATAAGTAGCACATTTATTATTCACAAGACTCTATGTATGTTAGTATTGTCATTCTGTTTTTAGTAAAAATAAATGTATGGTAATTATTAAATTACTTAAGCAGAAATCCTACATGTTTATAGAATGCCTTTATTTTAGCTCTCAGATTCATCATACTAAAACTATGCATCAAAAAACAAAGGTCTAATGTATCCAATAGAAAAATAGACTTTTTATGGTGGTATGTTGGCAACAATAATATGGAAAGCTGTTGAAACATTTTAATATCTAACATTTGGATTTCATAAATATTATTTAGGTAATTATCATAAATTCGTCACTTTCACTCAAAAGAAGGAATAGTTGGTTTCATTAAACCTTTCTAAACTTTCACATTTAGGAGACAAGTCTTGGTCAAGGTCTTCATTATGGGTCAAATTCACTTTAAATGATTAATTTATTTGAATCCAGAACACACTGTTGCCATAACCACTGATAAGCTTGAGTATTAAACCCAATTATGTTTAAATTAATTTGGGATTGCCACTCAAATCGCTATCTCTTTGTCAAACCCTACATCTAAAGTTCTTATGGTCTCATATAAATGAAGGAACATTTAATTAACTTTGTTGTAGCTTGAAGCACAAAAAAACATTTCTGAGAAACGATTTTTCCTCCCACTCTTAGAAAAAGATACTGCTGGGATTTTAAATAGAATGATACCAAATGTTCTCATGTCTTCTCTTTCTTCAGATTCCAAGAACACCCCCTACCTTTCTGTGCTATTACCTACACTCTACTTTGCTTAGAACACTATTTCTCACCCTGGGGATGCAACCCTTTTGACAAACAATCTCCAAAAAAAATCACATTATGATTCATAACACCAGTAAAATTACAGTTATGATGTAACAACAAAATAATTTTTATGGTTGGGGGTCACCACATCATGAGGAACTGTATTAAAGGGTGACAGCATCAGGTTGATGAACAACTCACTGACTTAGTTCACCTAGAACTTTTCAGTCAAGTTTAAGCTAAATATGGTCTGTTTTGTGAAGCTTTCTTTGATTTTCTTTAGTAATATTTAAAGGTAGTCCTCAGCCAGGTAGTGGTAGTGCTCAAGTTTAATCCCAGCACTCGGGAGGCAGAGGCAGGTGGGTCTCTGAGTTTGAGGCCAACCTGGTCTACAGAGCGAGTTCCAGGGCAAGCAGAGCTGTTACACAGAGAAACCCTGTCTAGAAAAACAACAAACAAACAAACGAACAATCACACCGTAATTATTTTATGTGTATTTGTTTCATATTTTCATGTACCACATTTGTTCATAAAAATCAAGGGTTCTAATTTCTTTTATCCTATGTCCTTTACCTAACACATACAAGGTATCAAATCTAGGGTCACATGCATGATAATCTAGCATTCTATTACTGAGCTGTATCTTAAACACCAAACTTATTTTCAAGTCAATTTTAACAACTTCTTCAGTTCCTAAAACATCTGTATTGGTAGGTGTCAAGTTCCCTTCTGATTCTGAACTACGTATCTTCCCTAGATGCTTCTGTGAGTGCATACATATCTACCTTGTTGTTCTAACAGTTACAAAAGTTAACATTTCACTGACTTCAAGAAAATTTATGGGACAAATTTCAATTCTTCTTCCCAAAATGTGCTCAATAGCTTCATTCATCTGAAGGACAAGGTCCTTCATTTGACCAGAAATCTTTTGTCAAAACATTTCTATATTTTGTAATTTCTAAAAGGTAAAGTAGAGATCTTGGAAACTATATTTGCAATCATTCTCTGCTAACTTCTCCAGTTGGATTTTAGCGGTGGTTGGGAAACTTCAGAGAGCAGGATGGTATCTGAGCAATTTATCTGAAACATCTCAGGTTGAGAGTGACTCACCGGTATTCCTTGGTGTACTCAAAGTCTTGTTTGTTGTAGGCAGGTTTTAGGAAATTGCACTCAATGACTCCAATTACTCCCACACCTTCTCCACAAGTTGGCTTAGAAGAAAATGTTAATTTCAACACATTACTATTGAAGGCCTAGAGGCATTTCCTTTTGATTCCAAAAAATAATGGAAAAAGGTTACACAGTATTTATGGATAAGGAAAGGCCATGAAGTTGTAGAGGAACACACAGAGTACACTTTAGTAGACTGGTCCCTGGCAAGCTCAAAAAGAAAGATTTTCTTTTTCTTTTTTTATTTGTTGGAAATAAGACTTTTTTCATACACTTATGCTCCATCACAGTTTCCCCTCCCTCTGCTCTTCACAGTTCTTCCATTCTTCTCCACCTCTCACCCCGTCCGGATCTGCCCCCTTTCTGTCTTTCAGATTGTTCAAACAATCATTCACAGATCCCTAGAATTCCTCAGCTCTAGTAGCTATCTATACTTCATCCACATGACTCCATTTTCAAGTGCTTTATATTCTAGGATTGCCAAGAGGTTCACTGGAATAAAGGATTTTACATTGCTAAAAAGCAAAATTATATAACAAGGTTCTGCAGAAGTGAAATGAAACCTTATTTAAAAATTAGAGGTGTGATGTAATCACCAAATCTGAATCCTATAACACAGGCATTTCATACATATAGAGGCCACCAAGAACTACCAGAGTCAGAGGGGAAGTGCAAAAGATTTGGGGGTTTTCAAGCTTGTCTCACTCTTTACTAGAGTCAAGGAGTAATTAAACTGACACATAACCAGGAGTTGTTTAAAGATGGTGTAACAACTGGGTGGTGGTGGCGCATGCGTTTAATCCCAGCACTCGGGAGGCAAAGGCAGGTGGATCTCTGTGAGTTCGAGGCCGGGCTGGACCGACAGCCTCCAAAACAATACAGAGAAACCCTGTATCGTAAAACCAAAAAAAAAAAAAAGATGGTGTAACAGGGAAAACCAAGACCTCACAGTTAACTATTCTGGGGCTTTTATTACTGTCCTACTATGCCACACACAGCCGTATATATTCCCTGGGCTTCAGTCATCTAATCTTCAAAATAGGAACAAAGTGATCGCTTGTGGAAATCAGTACTTTAAATAATTGTTAAATCATTAAAAATAATGGTAACATTTGTGTAGTTTGGCCTATGAAATATTTCAGACCATTTATCACACTTACTATCTTTTAACCCTCTAATTTGATAGGAAGATAAAGAAAACTGTTTCTACTTTACTAGCATAGAAATTGAACCTCAAAGGAGTTACTTGATTTATCCAGGAATATAGCTTATACATAGAAAACCCAGAGCACAAATCTTGATTTTTTTCAGCCACTAGAGTTTATGAACCTTCCAATATACCTTTACTGTCTCCAAAAATAATTAAAACTATTTTACACGTTAATAAGTTGACATGGTGTGACTGGTATGACTGAACCCTATCCCTTATAAACAGACAACTAGCTGCTGGGTTAGCACCTGAGAAACGAAGTTTTTCCACATCGGACACCTCACATATTGATCCAGAATTTCAGTGTCACAATCTAATAAGTGTCATGAGATGGGTCTGAAAACCATTAATGTGCCTATCTTTCCAGAAATTTAAGATTCTCTTCACATTCTTTGCAGACCTCTATGACAAAGCAATATTAATCACTCACCTTTAATTGGCAGCCCACCTTCTCAAAGGCCTTAATAAGGCGGTTGTTATGATACATCATTACTCCAAACTGGTTGTGATACTTGCAAGAGAATCCAAACGTGATTCTCACCTGCTTATTCTGAGAAGAAAATCATTAAGGAGACAAACTCCAGAGGCTCCAGGAGACAAAAAGTATAAATTATAGAAAAAAATCAAAAAACAAAACAAAAACCCCAGCAAATGGCACTGCATGTGAATCAACAAAAACTTGCTAGAACGCATGTAAAAAGTAAGCAATGTCTTGCTCCACTTTTTTGTTTTGTTTATGTGTTTTCAAGACAGGGTTGTTTTTCTGTGAAACATTCCTGGCTGTTCTGGAACTCTATTTGTAGACCAGACTGGTCTCTAACTCAGAGACTCGCCTGCCTCTGTCTCCTGAGTGCTGAGATTAAAGGTGTGTGTCACCACTGCCTGCTCTAATTTGGCTGCCACAATGCCAGCTAGCTACTGTGCTCCACCACCTCTTTCTTGCACAATGGATTGAATCTCTGAAACCATGAGCTTAAATAAATCTTTCTTCCCTTAGTTTCTCTTACTATCTGTCACAGAAATAAAAAAAAATCTTACAGACTCTATAAATGACAATTTATGTACATCAATACCATAGGGCAAAAGGATCAGGAATGATGAAAACATAATACAATTGGTAAACTCAGTACTCTAATATATGATTCAGAACATATAAAGTTTCTGAGCTCTAGGAATGCAAGACAAACTTCAAATAAGACGTTATTCCAAAACAGCAACAACAACAAAAGGAATAAGACAAAACTTGCCCAAATCAACCAAAAGTCTCATAACATAAATTGACATTTTAAAGAGAATGATAGTCAAATATTTTGTGCTGTACACTTTTAATGGACTGAAGGTACATTGTGGGAGGAAATAAATCAAATTTGTGTGAAGAGCACAGAGAGTAGTAAAGAGGAATAAATAAATCAGTACCAATTACCTTGTTCTGCACTCATCTCTGGAAAAATAATGCCAGTATTTGGGGTTTCATTTTAGTCACGTCAACACTGACTCTGTTTGACTGGAATTGTAGTATGAGAAGGTAACTGGATTAATAGGAAGGAGAGCTGAGATAACTATAGAATGTATCATTGAAGTTAGCCTGATAGAAACCCACAACAGTAAGAAGTCATACTCAGGAAAGGGACATGTCATACAACAGAATCTGGAAAAACATGAAGTTAGAGGGACTCTGCTAAATGCACAGCCCTCCATCCTAACCTACATAAGGTGAAGTCATTAACAATTTTCTCACTTGCTAGCTCTGACTCTAAGTTGAGCTTGCTTAGGCAAATTTCCTAGTAGAGAAGGTATATGTTTCCAAAAAAAAAAAAAAGAAAATCCACTCTGAGTAATGACTACATGTATATTTTAAATAAGCAGTTTCTAATCATGGCATGGCAGTAAGGAAAAAAGAAGTAAAATAATGTCTTTGATTTTTAAAATTCAGAGAACATGTCTATAGGGCCACGAGTTGTATTCCTGGCTACTGCAAAATAAAAAAGGAAGTGTTCATAAATACTTGAGTTCTCAGTCTTCTGAAGACTAGTTTTTTCCTCAAAATGCCACCAGTGAAGGTGGTTAACTAGCATAGTTCATCTCAAGATTGTCCCTCGTGTCTGAAATCCACTTACAGTGCAGTGAAGTATAGAAAAGCAAGTGCTCTTCTGGGTGCCTGTAATTATGAAAAGGTCCCAGAAAATCCATGTTGAGCTTGTTAGTGATTCATCTCCTCCCACAAATACCTTTAATTTCCACTCACTAATTCACATCCAAGTTTAAATCTGGACCAGTTACAACATAAGGTGTAAGACAAACAACTTCAACTAAAATTTTTAATCAAATGTGGGGCTGTAGAGATGGCTCAGCGCTTAAGAGCACTGCCTGCTCTTCCAAGGTCCTGAGTTCAATTCCCAGTAACCACATGGTGGCTCACAATCACCTGTAATAAGATCTGGTGCCCTCTTCTGGCCTGCAGGCATACACGGAGGCAGAACACTGTACATATAATGGATAAATACATCTTTAAAAATTTTAATCAAATGTAGTGGGACTATCTATGGGTGTGATTCTCAAATCTGGCTGTTCATTGGTATAAATTGAGGATTTACAAATAAATATATGTAATAAAAAATTTCAAAAAGTCAGGTGTGACAGCATATAATTGTAATCTTAGCACTCAGGAGGCTGAGGCAGGAGGATTACCTCAAGATCAATGCTAGCCTGTGCTAAACAATGAGTTTCAGGCCAGTATGGAATACTGTGAGAGGCCCTGTCTCAAGATAAATAAATAAGTAAATCAACATTAGATTTTAAAAATCTGCTGAGCCTCTGTTTTATTTAATAGTCTGCAGTCAGTTTCTGATAAAACTGGTGGGGGACACTTACAAAATTCTTCCTACAAGGGTAGTGTTTTAACACACAACTTTGAATTGGTACAAGGCAGGGATTTGGCTGTGTACCAATAGAGAGATTAAACCCCAGAATCAAGAAGTCAGCAGCATGTAAGGATACTGTGAAGGGAGACTTATATACATCATGTTCCACGTCTGCAAGGCTCTTAGCAATCATCTGGGTAGTCACCTTCTTTTGCCGCAGAAAAATCTTCATCCGGGGCTTCATATACAGAATACTACAAAACGCCTATGGATTTGTGAAAGGAAAGTTGTTATGCATATTGTCAATTCTACGGATACCTCACTAAAACATCACTAGCCAACTGTGCCTAGGCTTGGCAAATATTTGGTTGCATTTCTATACTTTTTCACAATATGGAAACTACCATTTTGAGAAAGTAGCTATATTAACTAAACTGCTTCAATGTAGATGTGAAAAGGAATTCCAGCAGAGTATCATCTCTACACACTTGCACTTCAACTCTGTTCTAAGATGTTTTCTAGTTGTAGGAAATTGTACGTCCCACCGTTGAAGAACTTTTCTTTTCTTTGTTTGTTTTTGGAGTCAGGGTTTCCCTGTGTAGCTTTGGAGCCTGTCCTGGAACTAGCACTTGTGGACCAGGCTGGTCTTGAACTCACAGAGATCCATCTGCTTCCCAAATGCTGGGATTAAAGGGTTGCACCACTACCGCCTGGCTGAAGGACTGTTCTTACTCACCCGTAAAGAATACTCTGTTTCTGGCAGCTCGGAGGTAACACCACCAATCTCTTTTCCTTCACCATCGAAGTCTGATACCAGGATATCATATTGATCTGTGTCAAAGTCCAGCTCAGACTTTCCATCTTTGTTTCTAAGTAAAAGAGACAAGTAGCAATTTAGAACTGACTCCCTTGTGTATGTGTGTGTGTGTGCATTAGGAACCTAAGAGAAATAAAATATAAGGTAATACTAGGGTATATGCTGCTTTTCCTGACTATTCCTCCAAAGTAACTACGAACTATGAAATTTGAGGAGCACACCATATTTAAGTTGTTCCTATTCTAAATCAATCTACCATGTTTCATAGCGTTGGTGATGCCAGGTTCATAAAGAAAGACAAGAAGGCATATGGAATATCTGTGATCTGATGAGGTGAATGCTACCCTCAAAGCAAGATTTTACATATCAGCTTTGTGACTGCTGCTAAAACAAGTCACTAAATATCACTATTTCCAACTGAATGAACACATGAATCCAAATCAATTTCTGCTGACTTCAGCAGCCAACTATGGACTAATAATATACCAAGATTTTCCCCAGATCTAGTCCTATGTCTTCCCTCCCCTCAAGACAGGTCTCGTTAGGTATCCCAGACTGACCTACAACTTACTGCATACACCAGGTTTGCCTCAAACTCAGAGAAACCCACCTACCTCTTCCTCTATGGTGCCTAGCACTAGGAGTTAAATGGTTAAACGGCAACACACATACATGCACGTGCACACACACCACTACCACCACCATCAACAACAACACCAACTACTACTACTACTACTACTACTACTACTACTACTACTACTACTACTGAGCATCATCTATTTTCTATCCCTCTGAAATATGGAATCATAGTACACATATAATAACAGTGGTATTCCTTTCATATGGACCTTTCTTATTCTCAGTTTTTTTAACTACTTAAGCTTTAAAAGTACTTGAAAGGCTACTTCTCTCCAAGACCATGGGCAATCTCACCATTTCAATATCAGGGGAAAAAAACATTAAGAATCACCTTTGCTCCTGGGGGAAAAACCTTTAAATTTGTTTTTTAAGAGATGGATTACAGAGACAATCTCTCTATTAGAACAACAGTTTTCAAACTGTTCTGTGGAACAGTAGTCCCTGGAGATATTCTTAAATAAGAAAAGGAGAAGGTTGTGTGAGCAAACAAAATTGAGAAACAACTGTTAGCCTGTAGAGTCCCCTCAAGATCCAACATTAACTTCCTTCACACTCCCAGCTCAAGCTCAAGCCCAGAGTTGCTGGGCTGAAAACTTACCTCCATTCTCAAAGCTGACCAGGAACCATTGCGGCATGCAGCCTGTATAAGACCCACACCAAGGCAAAGGTGTGCTCTGGAATTTTCAGGATAACTGTGATTCTTACTATCCTAGCACACTCGTACAAGCACTCTAAAGAATGTCCCTATCTTCCCTTCCCCTCATCTTTGCCATCTAAGAAAAAAAGATCGGGAGAAACATTTTTTAATGGGATATACTAAGCCGGGCAGTGGTGGCAAACGCCTTTAACCCCAGCATTCAGGAGCCAGAGACAGACAATCTCTTTGAGTTGAGGCCAACCTGGTCTATAAAACGAGTTCCAGGACAGGCTCCAAAGCTACAGAGAAACCTTGTCTCAAAAAATGGGATATACCAATACTATATGACTCTTTTAAATATTAGCACATGACTGTATCTTCAAAGTCTTTAACAAAGCAATAAGTAGGCTTTAAGACAGCTTTTCTCAAAATTATTTGATCATGAAAGCTTTTGAGTGTAACTGTGAAATAATGTACAAAGAAAAAGGTGTGTTTAATATGTGTAAATCATCGGGAATACCACAACAAAACAGTTACCAGTTATACAAATTATATCATTAAGGTTTTCCCAATGGGGCATATTAGCCCTACTTATTTTTAATTATAATTACAGTGCCTATATAATTCAGCATTCTTTTAATGTATATACTTCACCAGCTAAGAAATTGGAAAAGTGCTTGACATATAGAAAAAATGAACATATTTGTGGATTGTTCTATTAAAGAGATAAGTAATCATCCAATGTTATAATAAAAGTTTTAGGGTTTCTGTGTTTAAGCTTTCTTTTTAATTATTTATTTTTATTTTATTTGCATGTATTTCTGTGTGAGTGTGTCAGATCTTGGGGTTATAGAGAGTTGTTAACTGTTGTGTGGTTGCTGGTAATTGAACCCGGGCCCTCTGCAAGAGCAGTCAGTGCTCTTAACCAGCCCTATGTTTAAACTTTAATACACTCTTAAATGTATCTATTAGCCATGCCAAAATTAAAAGACGCATCATAGACTGTCTATTGATTGTTGTGTTAGTTTTAAAGTTATGATCTTAATACAGCTCCATTATAGTTAAAACTTATTTGCTTCAAAGATTTTTGTCTATTCCAAGATATTCTAAAAGCATGAATACAGGATTTCTTATTTTTAAACTATGGTATTATTTCACTATAATCGTTCTTATTAATTCATCTTAGTTGGTCAATGCATAAAATAACCATCATCTGTCAACCTTAAAACAGTGTCAATAAACATGGAATGGAACTGTAAAGGATTCTGAGGCTGTCATAATAATGTTGCATTGTATTACCATGATGATTTGCAGTAGCAGCCTCAGGATGTGCACATTTTTACCTAATATACACATCATTTTACCAATGAGGAGCACTATTTCAAGAGACTCAAGAAAGTTACCGAGAGATGACTTTCTCAGTATTTATCCAATCTAATCTAGAAAATAATATTAAAATGCACTTTATCATACGATATGGGCTTATTAGAGTCTATTACCCCTGTAATACTATACCTCCGGACATTCCAAATGAGAACACGGGTGCCTTTTTTGCCTGGGATAGCATCAAACTGAGATAGCAGGTCTTTTTCACTGTTGAAAATTGAATAGTTCAAGATGGCTTCTAGGCTGGGCAACGAATCTTCAGTAACAATCATTTTTTGTAAAAAGAATTCAGTCAAAGAAAATCAATATCTTATGAGGATGGCATTAAGAGGTAAGAGTCATAATGAAACTGGGTTACAAAAAAGGACATAAAAAAGGAGGGCTAGCTGAGAAGAGGAAGAGGATCAGTGGGAGGGGTCAAGAGAGGGTGAAGTATATGTAATACAAACACATTATATACATGATAATGTCATAATGAGACACATTATTATCCAGTTGTGTAGATGAATAAGGAGTAATGAAAAGAGTGCCTTTGAGGTTACATGTAGACACAAAATCTACATGCAAAGGATGGGCATTACTGCTACAGGAAAGAAGGAAGTGGAAAGTCGAGAAAGGCTGTTTATTCGAACATCAAAATCAGTAAAGCTTGCAGAATACATCTGCGAAGATGCAAATTAAACAAAGAGAGTGCTTCACTTAAAAAAAAAAGGTTAAATGCCAAAATCTGGAAGAAGTTAAGTTCAATTCTTCCTTCCATCATAAATGAGAGTTCATCCAGGTATATACAAATGAACCATTCTGCTAGCAGATAATCTGGTAAACAGGACATTTCTAGCAGCACAAACACAAATGCCGTTAGCCTTTATGGGACAAAGGTCCTGAGAACTTTACCATGGAAAAATGTTTAGCAAAAAGATTTTTTTTTGGTTTTTCGAGACAGGGTTTCTCTGTATTGTTTTGGAGGCTGTCCTGGCACTCGCTCTCTAGACCAGGCTGGTCTCGAACTCACAGAGATCTACCTGCCTCTGCCTCCCGAGTGCTGGGATTAAAGGCGTGCGCCACCAACGCCCGGCGCAAAAAGATAATTTTATAAATCACACTGTAACAGTAAGAATTTGAACACAGAAAAAATTAAGCGTCTGCTAATGGTCCATGCTTTTTAAAAAATTATTTTATAGAGGGACTTTTCAGCTATGCTTGAGATGTCTGAATACCTCTTTAAATGTAAAAAAAAATCATTGGAAATATGAACTACCAAGTAACAGCTGGATTTGACCTGAAGAAGAGGTTCTGCCAACGTAGTCAGACTAATACTTAATCAATTACTCTCCATTTCTAGGAAGGATATTGCTTTGCTGGCTGAATGGGACAATTGGTACAATAACTGCCTGGGCCTGAATACACTCCAGGTAGGTCTGTGACAGAAGTCCAACAGCGAGAGTACACCCATTCTTGGTGAAGACAAGAGCATCTTTTCCTAACCGCATGGAACCCGACTTGAAACCATTACCAAAGACCCCGATGGGACACTGGCTCTTCTTTATTACTTTATCTGTGAAGCCGAAGCTGAAATTACAGAAGAAAACAGAAATGAGCAAGGTAAAAAGCATCCTAAAATAGTTAACATAGAAAATGGCTAGCTTACACATGCAGAATAGCAACATGTTCTGTTTTCACTCTCTTTAGTACTTCCAGGCAAAACATAGGAAATTATGATTGGGCTCTGAGACCAATTTTCCAGTGTGGCTTGTGTGTACTTAAATATTAAATAGTTCTATATGCCAGAGTCACACTTTGCAAATGAAATGCTCCTACTGACTAACATGACAGTGGGAGCCAGGGAAGGCCTTGCACAGCTGCCTTTCTTATTTAGCTAAGTCAGCCCTGACTTCTATGAGTCGGGGCTCTATGAAAAAAGTTGCTACCTGGAGAGGGTCGGAAAAGAGCCAGTGGTGCTAAGTGAGGTACTTGGACTAAGCACCTCCTTGTCTGGTCACATCACACTCTAAAAATCTCAAAGAGATCATTTATCTTGACAATTCCAACTCCCCACCCAAAGGATAACCCTCCTCATTCTAAGCGTCTGTTCCATCTGCTGGGACAGTTCACTGGAACACTGCCAAGGGATAAAAATAGGTAGTTCTGCCCGTGAATATCTGCAAACAGCTGCAGTATAAAGTCTCTCTTGTTCTATTAAAGGCCTCTCACTGAGTCACCTCAGCAAACTCTGCAGCCCCTTGCCATCAGCTTACTCCTAGAGTCAAAATCCTTCCCTTTTTATGTTTCCCATTTAGATACTCAGATATGCATCCAAAATAACCAAATATACAAGTATTTAAGCATGGGATGCCTACAAAATGGTCTTCCCCTTGTACCCTCCACTACCACAAGTAACACAATTTTGGGGGATTGTATGGCTCCAGATTTCACAATTTCACAATGATGTACACTGCTGTTAGTATAACATTTATTGGAGCCCTATGAGTTATACACTATTCTAAGCACTGGAGACACAACCGATATGAGTCTTGCCTTCATAACTGATAGGCAACAGGATTTCGTGTTAGTACAGATTAGCTGCTTCTCCATTGTCAGTGAAAGAGACACTGTCTGCATACGGCACAACTAAGAGGGTTGGTTTGGGACTTAGTCTTTCCAGTGGGAAGAGGGTTCAACTACCTATTCTCCATTTCCAGAAGACTGTGGTTTTGTGTTTACTACCCAATAAAAGGGAACAGCTTTCAATTTTCTGTTATATGATGTTATGTAACAATGTACTGATGTTCTCTAGGTCTTTGTGCATCCTACAAATAAATCTAATATGAAATGAAAACAAATTTCAGGGAAGTGGTCCTCTGAAAAGAGAACACTGAGTTAACATTATGTTTGAACCCTAATGATTCCAGGAAGTAAGGATTACAAACTGATACGATTCTGATATTTTCATTCTTCTTGTAGAAGAGCTGGCTGGAAAAGACAAAGTCATTAGGAAGATAAAGTTACAGTCTATGTAAAATACATCGATTATAAAGTAATATCCAAGTTTTAATAAACTGACTCTGGGATTCACTCTGAGAACTGAGAACTGGGAGTACTGTTCCTTATCTATACTCCAGATCTAATGGCATATCTAAAATTCAGGGACCTTCAGGAATAGGCCTTTGACCTGCCACATGAAATGAATATGCATGGTCATTAGGATTTATTTTTTCTACTATCACAAAACTTTCAATTACGTAGTCAAGGGAAAGCGGTACAACAGGCAAGCCGTCAATCTCTTATTTTCTAGTCTCCTCTACCATTTGTCACCTATTTCCCCCTCCATGTGTATAGATGCTTGTACTAGTTACTGTAAGTGGAGCAGGGGATGATATAAGGTTGAAAAGGTAAGTAATAGGGCAGAGTCAAAACCAGGAGGGAAAAGGATAAAAGCAAGGAGAAGAGAAACGGAAAGCTCTAGACTTTGTTCTATTACTAACTCTTCCATGTGCTTTATTTTGCCAAAGGCCCCATGTTAAGTATTCTATTTAACTGCAAGTACTTAATACAAGAGTGCTCAACATACTTAATGATAGAAATGTGTAGGTTCATACAGCTTTATATAGTTAAAATAATTTCAGAAGCGCTATCTTGGCTTAGATAGTTCATCTTCACTAAGTCAATCTTGTTCTATCCTCTCTTGTAACAAATACAATTGTTTATACACTAAAGGAAGTTGAAGACTGGCACTCTCAATGGAATACAAGAACATAGCAACTTCCTCTTGAATACTCTTAAGATGTCAGGAATCTAGATTCTAAAGAGATAAATTTAAATTGGGATGCTGACCAATAAAATGCACCATAGCAGAACTCCAGGGAAATACGTGAGCAGGCATTTGTTTGTTTCCTAGATACAGTGATGATGTGACGAGTACTGTGAGTTTCTGAAAGACTGGAGAGCAGGCTGTTACTCTCTGGCTGCTGTTTTGGAGCAGACCTACTATGTCATGGGATTCTGAGCAGCAAAGGCCTTCGATCTGTGGCTTTGTGTTTCTTTTTAATCTCTGGCCTTTGAAGAGGCTTTCCACTTTGCTAGGAAAGGCTGTTGAATGGATATATACTGATTCACATACTATCCAAGAAGCCAAAAGGGCCTTAAAAACTGAACGAAAGGTTTTCTTTTAGTTTTGTTCTTCCCCTTGAGGTGCTAAGGATTAAACACAAGATCTTCACATGTCAGGCAAGTGCTCAGTTACTTGGAGGAACTACCTATTCAGCACAGACTTTGCTTTTTGAGTTTGATTTTCATGGGTTTCTGTGTTTATGAAAGAAACAGCTCCTTCACTTACACATCCTAGTTTATCAGCCTGAAAACAGGAAGAGTAGCATAGTGAGTCATGAAAACAGGCACAGGATACCAATAAATATCGGGGTCAAACAGAATGGCTATAGGCTTAATACTTCAATATACTGCATAGCAACTTCTATTATTTTTTCCAAATACAAAATAAATATGACACAAAATGAAAAATAGAAAAATACTTTACACAGCAATAATATTCAAAACTACCTCTGAAGTTTAGAGTGTTTTTTTCCTTCAAAAATGTTGGTGGTCTAGGGACATAGAGACCAGATAGAATAGTCCTTGCTGGTAATGTACAAGGCCCTGCCAGAAAACAATTGTGGAAAGTGAAGTCTTGGGTTAGATGGATGACACTAAATGATCTCCTTTAAATAAGTGGTATCTTTTAGCTAATTCACATTTCTTTTGAGATACAATCACAAGTAAAATTCAGTATACAAACTACATTTAGTACTCATTAACACAGCTTTCAGAATCATTCATTAGTAAGAATTTACTGAATGAATTTGGAACGAAACTAGTGGTTGCTTTTAAGAAATATTGTATTTGTTTTTACTTTATGTAAATGGGTGTTTTGCCTACATGCATGTCTGTGTATAACATGCATACAGTGCCCACGGAGGCAAAAAGAGGGTGTAAGATCCCCTGGAACTGGAGTTATAGACAGTTGTGAGCCACCATGTGGATGCTAGGAATTGAACCCAAGTCCTCTGGAAGACTCTTAAACGCTGAGCCATTTCTCAAGGCCCTGAACTTATTTTTAAATCATCCTCATCTTTCCTTCTTTCTTATAACTATATCAACTTTCATACAAGTAGTTGCAGAGAAAAATGGAAGGTGTTTATATTTGCTGGACTTACTGCTTGGTGCCCATGTAATTGGGACAAGGTGTTGTGGGAGGAAGTCGGTGGTGATTAGTAGGAGCTAAGGGGGTGGCTTGGTGTGTAAACTGCTTGATGTGTGAGCAAGAAGACCTGAGTTCAGGTCTCCAGGGCCCACATAAAAGCCTAAACTCAAAAGAGCATGAATGTAACCCCATCATCCAGGAGGTAGAAACAGAGGGATATCTGGGCATTGCTGGCAAGCTAGTCTAGCTTGAAGGTAAACTCCAGGTTCAAGGAGAGACCCTGTTTGGGAAAAAAAGGTGGAGAGTAACTGAGGAAAACATGTGACATCAACCTCTGGATTTCACACAAAGACATACAGATACACACAGATACACAAACATGTACATACATACAAACACATACAAAAAACGAGTGACCAGTAATTTTGGAGAAAAGTAGTAATGCAGAATTAAACATAAATATTATAGTACTATTCTACCTAAATTGTCTTCTTTTTAGTAGGTACTATTAATTTTAGAGAATAAAACTGATGTTGTGGATTAGAGAATCAAGCCAACTAACCCTCTCTCTCTCTCTCTCTCTCTCTCTCTCTCTCTCTCTCTCTCTCTCTCTCTCTGTGTGTGTGTGTGTGTGTGTGTGTGTGTTTCTCTCTCTCCATACACCACATAATGGATATATTTTTCTTTACTTCTAGAGTTTTCCCTCGAGTTTTGTTTTGGCAAAGCTTTGTTAGTACAGAAAGGCTTAGAACTCTCAATACTCCTAGCTTTTTCTCCCAAGCACTGGGATTACAGGCATGCACTACCATACCTGGAACTCAAATATTCTTCTAACTAAAATAGACTAAGACACTAAGGACTGGAGAGGTAGCTCACTGCTTAAGTGTACCAACTGTTCTTCCAAAGGACCTGGGTTCAGTTCCCAGCACACATATGGCAGTCCCAGAGTATCGGGAAACATATACATGTAAGCAAAACATGCATACACATAAAACAAAATATTATATTTTTAAAAAGAGAGACTAAGGTAAAAGAAGTACAGACTGCTTAGTAGTAAAACATAACTACTTACTTTGACCAAATTTCATTTTTTTCTTTGAAGTAACAAAGGTATTTCCCTACAAACAGCTACTAATTCAGAAAACTTTCCAATAAAATTATAACACAATGAATTTGTTTTCCATTTTTAGGACTCCGAGCCCTTTCCCTTCTCGTCAGCACTGATCCATTGTTACCCACACTTTACATGCTCAAGTTCAGGAAGCACATGGAGAGTTAACAACCACATCTGCTAAAAAGGAAAAAAAAAGAAGGAAAGGGTTGAAGAAACACCCATCTCGCACCAAGCGATATGGCAAGACAATACAGCACAAACATTCTCAACCACAGACGTTTAAAAATAATTAAACCAACTCGGTCTGGCAGTATGTATTTCTCTTCAGCTTCTCTAGTTAGAAAATACCCCCCTCTTAACTCCACAGCACTATGGTAAAACCTTCCAAGATTATGTGTGTGAATGCCTTCTGTTTATCTCTCATGGGGTTTCTTTATGCTCAGGCACCTTCACAGTTCTAACCTATGAGTCATCCTAACTCCAGTACTTGTGACTTAAGAATGAGTTTAGGTGAGTCATGAACCGGAGAAGGTATCAGATAAATGAAGAAACTCGACCTTTTATTTGTACCATCTTCTTTTCTTGAACTGCCATTCCTCACTCCCTCCCTACCCTTTCCTACCTTGTTAAATTGGACACATCCGTTACATCTCTATGTGAACAGCATTCTAAGTGGGAGACTTTTATAGACCTCTGATTAGGTTCTGCTGTGGACTTACCCCATGTATCTCATGCTTTCCTATTCTTACGCTTAGAGCATTTTATTATGGTTACTTGCTTTAGTCACCTGAATTGCCAGCTAGATTCTAAGTTCCATGAAGGCAGAAATAACGTCTGCTTCACAATCAGTGTCTTGACACCGAGATCTGCTTAATAAATATTCATAGGTAAATAGAGGTAAATGAAAATGTTATAGACAAGCTATGAAGCCTTAAACGAAGTCTGTGAAGTCAAGATAACAAAATAGGATAAAGACATTTTTACCTGAGCATTCGGTGGAGTTTGTGAGGCGTCATCCCACACCCATCATCAGTAAAGGTCAAACAAGGCTTATTCTTGACCTCCTCAACATCTATGAAGACCGTCCTGGCAGATACATCAGGATCTACAGCATTATCTGGAAAGGTAGAAATATGTGATATTAGAAACCCTCTTCTCGACAATCTATTAAAATCTCCAGCTCAGTACCATGATTTATAAATCTGTCTTTAATTCCTTCCTATGGATGTCCCAGAAGATAAGCAAGGAGACATTAATGGTGATGTGCTTACTGAGTTATGAAGGCAGATGGAGCCATGCAACTGATTTCTAGGCTTCACATAATGGATGATCCTGCAATCTGATTTCCCCTTACAAAAGTCAGAGTCTATGGGAAAATGTACTATTTGCAAAGCATTTTGCTTTGAATTGACTTTCCTACCTCTAGCCTCTAAGACACTTTACAGTTCAGAACACAGTGAAAGGTGGATAAAGTGAATAAGTTGAACCAGCAGTTTGGGTAAAGAAAACTGGATGTATCTTATGTACATTACAGTTTGTTTCTGGTACCATCTCCTCTGTTAAAGAACATGGGTATTGGTGTGGTGGTACATACCTTTAACTCCAGTACTTCAGAGGCAGGGGCAGGAGGATCTCTGTGAGTGCAAGACCAGTCTGGTCTACATAGCAAATTCCCAAACAGCCAGGGGTACATAGTAGAGAGATTCTGTCTCAAAACACACACACACACACACACACACACACACACACACACACACACGTATGCATGCACACACCGGTATTTTTGCTAACTTTTTTTATAGTTATACAGACCTCAACGAGTCAGAGGTTAAAATTAAAACATTAAATTGTCTGCTTAAACCCCAGCAATGGCAGCAAGCCTATTTTGAGAGAAACAGTGATCTGCTGCTTCTCCCTGTGCTAAATGTGAGGCTGTCTGGTGCTTGAAACAGACAACCAAATAACTGTAGAAAACTGCATAGAAATTTCCATGGTTCCCCCTGAAGTACATCTTCACAAACAGGTAATTATTTTCAAACTTAACATTAGTAAAAGTGACATGTCCTCTTTGCCAGAGAGTACCACTATCTGAAAGGCCACATCTATGGCCATAGGCGCCAGTTTACACAATCATTAACTGATGCAGATTACTAGTCGCATTAGGACTCACTAGCCATGTTAAAAGTACCTTCTATACAAAATGTTGGATAGTACTATTGTTTGGATATGGTTTGTTCCCTAAAAACTTATGTGCTAGAAGCTCTGTCTCTGGTATGGTGATGAGATGGTGGAACTTTTAAGAAGCAAAGTCTACTACAAGATAATTAGGTCACCAAGGATGCTACCTTGGAAGGGACTAACACTATAAGATCTGAAAGGACTGGATCCGTTTCCACTAAAATGACTTGCTTTAATCCAAGGCCACCCTGTGTGTTTGGCTCTTTCTGTACATGTCGAGCGCTGTTTTGACTTCTCTGGCACATTGTGATGCCTAGTGATACAGCTAGGGGGCCTTTTCAGGGATGCTGGCATGATGCCATTTGGATGTTCCAGCCACTAGAATCATGATTCAAATAAATTTCTTTATTTACAATGCACTTATGCTTGTGTATTTTGTTATAGTGACACAAAGTAGACTTACACAACTAGGTACCTAAATCATTTCTATTTCTACTAATTTATTTTTAAGCAGCAGAGACCTTCCTTTCTATATATCCTTCTTTCTCTTGCTGACATTATATATGGCTTTACTGATACCATATAGGTGGGCTGAGATAGTCACATGGGGTTCTGATCATATACTTGCATCAATACTGTTGATCAAATCATGTCATTTCTCCATTGGGAACACATCTTACAATCAGGAAAAGTATTACACTTACTCAAAATACTCATTTTTTACAATATAAGTGCACCAGTATCAGTTACAACCACTTGGATGTGTGGAATGTCTGCCAAATAAAACGAGACACAGATTAATTTCAGGTGATACAACAATGTTGCCAATCATTGATAAAAACTGTCACTGACTGCAATCTGGTAAAAAAAATCTGGACAGCTCCAGAAAGGGGTTTGAGGTCTACTGTAGTCAATCTATAAAATCCAAGGAGGACCCAAGCTCCATTTAAATGCGGTAATAGTCCTGGGGATATAGTTGAGCAGAACTTACAGGTTGGTAAGCAAAGGTGGCATTAGCAGAAATGTAGTTCTTTACTTTGTAAGAGGCCGTTCCCCCCTGCCCCTTAAACATCAGGACCTAGCATTTTACATCTGTCAGCATACAGGAAATTTTACTTGGCATGCAGGCTCTTATCAGTCACTCCTGCTGGTAGACAGCCAAAGCCATTGAGAGCAATACAACTTGTCAACCAGCTGGATAGCGTTTAGACATGGAAAATGATGAATATCAAGGACTTTTTTCTAATACTTTATGGACATTCACAATTCAAACACACAACACACACTGACTCCAATGACACACATATACTCTGGGATATGAAATGAATCAGTTTATGGGTCTCTAACAAAATCACTTCTTTTTTTCTCTAATGAAAGTTTGGGCCGAACATTACTAGGTTGTTTTTGTTTGTTTTATAGGAGGGTAGCAAAAAATCTGAAAAGAGCTTTGAAACTCTGCTTGCCAGTCCATACCCACCGATCTTAATTTCCCTAATGCTCTGTCTGACACTGACCTCTTAGGTCCCATATTCCCGGTACTTCAAGAACCTTCAGCTCATGTCTGACTGCTCCAGATAGCCACCACGAGACTCATGAACTGCCTCTGTTCAGACTCTTTGGCACTGTGGCCTTTCATGAGGCCTCAACAAATGAAAGTATAACATGATCAGCTCAATGGATGAACTTCTAGGGTCCTAACAAGACAAGCAGTTTCAATCTCACCTCTTGTTGTTCAGCACTGTAAGAATTGGACCAACATGTAGCATATCTTATCACATTTCAGGAAATCCATCTTCTAGCCCAGTCCAGCCCATTTAGACCATGAACAAATACAATGATAGACCCCCTCATTCCTTTACCTAGTATCCAGGTGAGAGCTGTCCTGTCTTCCTCTGTTTAGTCTGGATTCACAATTCCGTACACTAACAGAGTCCTACCTCTCCTCTCTTGGTCAGTGCCATGCCTTCCTTAGTGAGAAGGCCCTAGCTCAACCTTGCCTTTGGCTACCAAGTTACTTTAGCAAGAACATGAGAATCCGTATAGCCTAAGCTGTTCCAAGTCCATCCTCTACATGATTTCTTGTATTAAAAAAGTTCTGTAACTGAGGACTCGTACCTCATCAGAACCTGGCAGTGGTGGCCGCAGGGAAGGAGGAGCGTAACAAATAGTTCAGTGACAAGAGAAATAAAGAATGGGGGAGTGCTTTGAAATAGTGTTTCATGAGCTTCCTATTTGTTCCTGCTCCAGTACATGGATATTTGCAAGGTTGCAAGGGACAGGCTATTGCACTATAAGGCAACTTGCAAGTGGGTAGAAGTATAAAAGCAAGGTCATCATCTTTGGTCACAGGGCTACTCTTACACACACACACACACACACACACACACACACACACACACCACAGTTTCTACATTCAAATGGCAAGTATGATTGGAGTTGTAGCTGAGTGGAATACTTGCCTGATATGTGGGAAACTATGAGTATGATTCCTACTTAAAAAGTTATTTTTTATGGGGCTGAAGAGATGGCTCAGTGGTTAAGATCAATTGCTGCTCTTGCAGAGAATCCTGGCTTAGTTCCCAGTACCCACATGGTGGTCCATAACTGTCTACAATTCCAGTTCCAGGAGATCTGACACTCTCTTCTAGCCTCTTTGGGCACCGCCCTCATGCATGTGGTGCACTTACATACATGGTAAAACACCCATATACATAAAAAATTAATCTTTTTTTAAAAGCTAGTTTTAATCCATCTGTCTTTCTGCCCTATACACCCCCAGTTTCTGTTACATCTTGCTTTTTCTACTCTCATAATCATTTTTAATGTACAGGGTTTATTCCCTCTCATATGTATTATTATTATAACAACCTTTAAAATTCACATCTCTCTTCTACAACTCCACTTCTGTAAGATCGGCCATCCTGAAGCAGAGCTCTAATCCCCAATTCCCGTTGTCAGGCTAGCAGTTCAAATATCAAGCCTCCCAGTCACATCCTGGTTCCAGCTCACCTTTCTAACCTCATTTCCTATTTGGAAGTTGAAGTAAAATGACCCCTGTTTGTGCCCTGAACCTGCCACTTACTAGACATGTGACCTTAGAAATGGACACTATCTACAAACCTCTGTTTACTCATCTTTGAAAGAAAACAAAATAGCACTCGTTTCCATGGACAAATCCACAAGGACATTTTGGAAAGCTCTTTGTAAACGCTTTAGAAGTGTATAGTTTCCATTGTCTTTGAACTCAGAGCTCTAATTCAATTCACGGACCTAGAAGATATTCTTCATGCTTTTGCTCATCATTTGTTCCTTGTGAGTGGAATTATCCCCCCACTCACCATATCCACACGTCCCAACCCTTCAAATCTCTGCTCAAATGTCCCCTCCTCCATGAAGCATTTTCTGAGCCCTCTGCTCCTGATAAACTTAAGCCATTCCCCCTCTGTCTGTACCCCTATAGCACCTGTGTACGTCTCTTTTCAGACATCACTTTCAACATGGTTGCTACAGAAATTGTAAACCTTCTCACACGTTTTGTCACACCTATTAATAATGTGTACCTGCGTTATATCCATTTTCCTATCTCGGTGACTTTGTGCATAGTGGATGCTTAATACATGTTTATCAAATGAGAGTTTCCCTAAAAATTAATTTGGAAGTAGAGAAAACTGTTGAAGGAAAACCAAAATGAAAGTTTTGGATCACCAGTCAGCACTCTGATGTTCCTTTTCCCTATTAGTATTTGTGACTCAGTGTTTTTTTTAAATCCATATATATATATATATATGTATATATATGTGTGTGTATTATACACATATTTGAATTAATAATAGTAATCTTAGGCCAGGTCTATAATTTTTTAAAAATCATATAGTGAGTTGAGTGTAGTGGCGAATGACTGTAATCCTAGCATTACAGGGCAGACACAGACAGATCTCTGTGTGCTGAAGGCTAGCCTGATCTAACTGATCTACACAGCAAATTTCAGGTCAGCTGGGCTACATAGTGAGACCGTGTCTCAAAAACCAAACAGAAAGAAAAAAGAAAAGAAAATCATATAAAGTCATTGATGTAGCTTTAGTGGCAGAGCACTCGATTAGCATTCATGAAACTCTGAGGTTCAGTTCCTAGTACTACCAAAAGGGGGGAGAACAAAATAATGTATTTCAAAATTACAAATTGAAAATATTGTTAAGTTTCCTCTCTTCTGTCTTTTGAAAATAAGCTACATGCACATAGATCTCATTCCACTATTCGAAGGTTCACTGTAGAACAAGTGAAAACCCTAAAATAATCGCTGCAGCCTGGAAATTCAAACTGTATCAATGCTACTTTCCTCCTGAACTTTCAAGATTGCAATCAGCAACCTAGTATATAGCATTTTGGGCTACAGCCAAGCAAATCATCAAAAATTCTCCATCACCTTCCAAATAACTCTTCTTGCTCTTCCTGTCGCTCGCTAACATCATTACAGAAACAAGTCTCATGGCATGGCCACAGCGAGGGCTTACGTACCCAGTGGGGTTCATTCGCATAGCTTTGAACGCATTTTCAAGATTTTTGTTCTGTGCTAACTAACCCCATAAATCTGCCTCCCTTCTTTCGGCTTTTGAAATATTTATAACGTGCTTGCTCTGTGTGCTGCTGAATTTTGTGCAGAACTGCTTTTCTTCTTCGCTTTTTGAACAGCACATTACTGCAGAAGCTGATGCAAGTCAGCTCCAAGGAAGGAATCAACTGGAAATGCTTTTTAACCAAGCCCTGGTGCACCCAGAGGTTAAGTCCTTAAGTCCTCCCGGTTCATTCCAGCGGTGTGAGGGCGCTCGTGGACTACGGACCCAGCTCTCTGCAGTCTCAGGGAGCCAAATGCACTCGTGTCATCATCTCTTAAGAGATGTCCCATCATTCCTAGACTTTGTCTCTAAAGTTAAAGAAGTCGTTTCCAGATCTTTCCAACGACTGTACACGGTCCTCTGCACTGTTCCTTTGCCAGCTTGGGGCCCTCTGTCGGCCGCCGTCCGCCGTCGAACTCGGCTGCCTCGGGGCCCGATATTTTTATGCATTGCTTTTTGATTATTAACTAAGAATCCTAAAGTGACTGCAACATCACGAACCAGACAGAACAAGGGTGCAGGAACCCCACCAATCTCTCCATACACACCTCGCTTCCTGGGCTTTACGGACGAGATCTAGTCCCACCCCCCCAACCACCACCCGAGAGAACACGGTGGCCGAGGCCCCCCAGCCCGCCCCGAGCGGACCCGCCCCACGCGCCTCGTGCATTCCTGTCGCGTCCACCGCACCACGCTGGCACTGCTGCCCCAGGCTAGCGACCCGCGGCCCGGCCAGCCCTCGCCACTCACCTAACAGCTCCGCGATGGCACTGAAGGGTCGCGTGTGACTGCTGGAGTTGCTCTGGAGGTAGCGGGGGCTCATCTGGGGGCGAGAGAAGGTCCCGTCCCGCGTGAGGCCTCGGCCCACCGGGCCCACCCCGCGCGCTCCCCGCATCCCGAGGACCCGCTCACGCTCGCGCGAGTCCGTCCCCTCGGGGGGCCCCCCGACCTACCGTGCTCAGGCGGATCCCGAAGGCCTGCGGGACGCTGCCCGCCCGGGCCAGTCCGCCGCCCGGTGCGCCAGGGCCCGCGGGGGCCCCTCGGTACAGAAGCATTTTTTTGGCCGCCAGGATCCTCGCTTGCCGCTGCCGGACCCTTCGGCCGGCTGTCCCGCACTAGATCGCGCTGTCCCCCGACTCGCAGCTGGCGGTGGCCGTCCTGGACTGGCCCTCCCTGGTTCCCACTCGCAGCTGGCAGAGGCGGGGCGCACTGCAGCCACCTGTCCCCAGCGGGAGGGGTGAAGCCGGAGGAGCCCAGCGTCCGCCCCGCCTTGTCAGCACCTCTCCTGACCCACCGACTGCCGGGGCTGCCCCACGGCCGTACAGAAATATGGCGATCTCCTGACAGACGCTCCTCCATCCCCGCCCCTAATTAATTCTTGGCGTTTGCCATAGGCCAGGCGGCCGAGCGGGAAAAGCGCGAGGGGAGGGGGGATGGCGGTGCGTGGGGAGGGGCGGGAATGTGGCAAGAGGAGGGAGAACGTGCATGGGATTTCTGGAGTCCCACTTAGGCTGCATGACTAACAGGCAGGATAAGACAAGCCTTTCATGTTCGAAGGACTACAGTTTTGCTATCTGGGAAGATAGCAGATTGGAGCTAAAGGAAATCATTCCAATAGCTACTTCGAAAGTGTATGGAAGCACCCGGAACTTTCTAGAATGCAATTGGCAAACTGCCTACCAGTCCTTCAAGCATTCAGTTTCTCCCCGTATAAACTGCAAAATAGGGGACTGGATGAGTTGCAGAATGTGCATCAATTAACATGCAACTTTGAGTGTTTGCATGATTGTGGTTGCACAGTCCACACACCGCTTGTGTTGTTCCACAGGACACGCAACACTTGCGTTTGAAGGCCAGATACTGAAATCCATCTGGTGTCTCTGAGGCTGGGGTTACAGGCTCGCACTACCATGCTTATGCTTACACAACAAGCACTTTACCCCCTGAGCCATCATCCCAGCCCCGAAGGAATGTGAGATCTTTAGTTTTAAAAGTTTTTATTACTGCACTTAATTCTTTTGTGTGTGTTTGTGTATCTGTGCATGCCCATGGGGAGATCAGCGCACAATTGCAGGAGTAGGTCATGTGGGTTTAGGGGTCAAACTCAGGTTGTCAGGCCTCCTGGTGGCATGCACCACTGAGGCATTTCACCCCGTCCAAAATCAACTTTTAAAGGACATGCCTATGGTAGATGGATGTGCATTTGCACGTGCCATATTGATCAAACGAGGATGGTTAGCATGTTGGCTTCATATATTTATTTTTTTTATGTAGTGTTAGAGTCAAACTCAGGCCTTAGAAGCCACACCAGACCAACACGACCAAGTTGCATGTCTCATTTCTTTTTCTGCATGTGCGTACGTGTGTGTGGGGGGGTGGGAGCCATACATTGTGTGTCTTTTAAAGTTACTCTCCACTTTCTTTTGTATCTGAAGCTCACCAATTTAGCTAGACTGTCTAGCCAGTGAGCCCCAGAAATCTATCCCTGACTACCCCTGACTATCACTGGGGTTATAGACACTCTCACGCGGGTGCTGTGGATCTAAACTCCGGTCCTCAGGCTTGTATGGCAAGTGCTTTACCAACGAAACCACTTCTCCAGCCTCTCTTTGTGTGTGTACATGTGTATATGTGTTCATGTGGGGAGGTTTCCTGTGTGTGTGTGTGTGTGTGTGTGTGTGTGTGTGTGTCAGAGGTCAACTTCACCTTTTTTTTGAGACAGTGTCTTTTGGTGGCCTAGAATTCCCTACGTGTAGGATGACTAGCCAGTGATCTGCCTGTTTCTGTCTCCCCGTGGTAGGATTACAAGAGAACACCAACTCTGGCTTTTTTAGAGCATGAGTTCTAGGGATTGAACTTAGATCCTTGCACAGCAAGCACTTTCTTAACTGAACTGTTTCAACAGACCCCTTTGTTTTCGAGACAGACTCAGCTCAGGCAGTCTCTATCTCTCGATCTTCCTTCCTCAGCCTGTGCTTGGACAGAGGGGAGAGCCACCATACCCAGCACTACGTCTATCTTTTGTTTGTGATGAAAACATTTTTCAAGTCTAGCTATGTAGAAATTTATAATACTTTATTGTTCACTACAGACTCCTTATTGTTTGGTGGCATAGCAAAACTTCCTCCTTCTAACTACATACCTGCTGCCCAACTTCTGCCAATGAGTGCCTCTCTCAACTACCTCCCAGTTTACCATTGTTTGACATTTAGGTTGAATGTAAATTTAGCTATTGTGACTAGTACTGCAATAAGCATGGAAGGGCAGATGTCTCCTCCATAGTGATTTGATTTCCTTTAGATATGTACCCAACTTTGGGATTTCTAGATTATGTGGTAATACTGTGTTTAAAGTCTTTGAGGAAGCTCAATATACTTTTCTCCTAATGTGGATACTAATTTGCATTCCCACCATCAGCTAATAAAGATTTCATTTTCTCCACCTTCATGCCATCAATTGTGTTCTTTGTCATTTTGTTGTTCTAACTGGAGTAAGGTGTCATCTCATTGTGATTTGCATTTGCATTTTAGTTATACTGAGATTTTTTGTGTGCATGTGTACTGAGATTGGATGTGGGCCATCACACCTCATCACACTACCGCTGAACGATCTATATCCAGCATCATTTTTACCTTTTATTTTGAGAGAGGGTCTCACTGAAGTGCCCAGGCTGACCTTGAAATTACTTTGTAGCCCAAGTAGCATGTGGTCATCCTTCCTTGGTATTCCAAGTAGCTGGGGTGGCAGGCCTGTGTCATTTAAATGGCTTTTTATGTCTTTTTTTTTGAGAAATTGACTTCCCCCTACAAGTATCAGGAAACTGGGTAAGAGGTTATATACATAGTAAACAATTGCTGGGGAAGAGGCAGTTCTTTAATGGTATAAAAATGTGCAAGTTGCCCAGAGCACTCTGGTGATGCAGGACTTTTGTAAGTAGTCACCCATGCTGGGGTAAGGCCTTTTGGAGAAGCAGCTGCCTGAGTCACCCATGTTCCTCTAAGTAGTCCCTCACCCATGACCCTGTAAGTAACACCCCCAAAAGTCAATGATTCACCAAACTGGATTTGAATGGGATCATTTCTTCAATCTGCTCTTGTTCTCTCTATCTCGCACAAATAGAAAAAGATTCCACAAATAAAGGCATGCAACACTGTGTAACATGATACCTTTTATTGGGTAATCAAGTATATATGTATGCATTTCCATATAGATCTACATACAACATATATATGTATCCAGTCAACTCAATGGCCATGGGGGACTGGTTTCAGGCACCAAATTCCATGTTTGCTCAAGTTCCTTGCATAAAATGGTGTAGCAATTGCATATAACCTACCCTTATTTTCTCATACACTTTAAATAATCTCTAGGTTAATTTTACTATGTAAAAATGTAAATGCTGTGTAAATCATTGTTGTGATGTATTGTTTAGAAAAATGACAAGGAAAAAATTGTACCCATTAACTTCAGAAATATGTTTAAGCTGGGGTTGTTTAAATATATGTATTATAGTTAATAAAATATATGTATGTAATAAAATATATAAATATATGTATAGATGCAGAACCCATACACACAAAGAGCACATTGTAGACACACAATAAAAATAATATATAATTCCTTGTATTTGTCTTTTTTAAACTTATCTTTTTCTTTACACTTCCAAAGTATGCAAAATATAGACAACAAAATAATTAATCGCTGTTCACACATTGCCTTGGTGAAGAAACAATTAAACTCATACAGCTACACATACATACTCATAAATGAAACAAATAATTCTTTTAAAATGTCTGTGTTAGAGATGTTTTAACAGGAATGCTTATGTCTAATTACACATCCAATCCCTCTTTCAGAGTGGCTTGTGACATTTCTTCCTCCATAAACACAGTACGGCATTTGGAAAGCCTTGTTCTTCCCTTGGTTTTTACATTCAAGCCCTCACCATCTCTCAATAGGCTCACTGACTGCCTTCTTCTACGATGGGCATGTATGATTCCCCTGTCTTGCTTGCTTCTGTGCATTGCAAATGTATTTTACTATTGTGGGAGTTGGGATCTGGGGCCTCATAAGTATTTAGCATCATGATTGGCAGCTGGGGTTCCACGAGTTTCTCAGACCCTCTCCAGCACTCCATGTCAGTCAGGAGTGATCCCCAGAGGCAAGTGCACTGCTGAGAGTTCTGGGCCTGGCCTCCAGCTTTTCTACCACTAGGCAGTCCTAAACAAGACAGTAAATGATTCTATGCAAATTCTATCAGTGCTGCTTCACAGGGCCATGACATGAAGTTTCACTATGTCACCCCCAACAAGGCTTCTACAACAGCTGGCACATTCGTGAAGGAAGATGGATTCCAGAGTACTGGGCTATTGTGAAACCCCAGGGGGTTTGCTATGCAGAACCAGGAAGTGCTTCTACAGGACATGGCAGAACCCTGGAGCATCCCTGCTAGTTTCTGTCCTGGGGCTGAGCGGTAGGAATCACGTCCAGTTTCCCTCTGCTCTAGGGCCTTTGGGTCATAATCTTTGAACCTTCTACGTGATCTTTGTTATTTCATGCTGTCTGTTCACTTGGTCGGGGTTGAATGCCTTACCCTGGAGGAATCACACAGAGAAGGACTTGGTATTGTTACAGTGGGCTCCAGGGTGAGTGTGAGTTTCTCCAATCGTGTTCTGACCTATTCTCTAAGGTCACATACCCCAAGTTCCTGGGTAGGCATGCTGAAGCCCAAAAGGTATCTAGAAGGCACTGGTTCCTGTCCTGACTCCTCCATTGCACTGTCCTGTGATCTTAGAAACAGATAATCTTGCCAAGGAAGCACATGGAACCAGAGCATGTGGGCAGAAGGATGAGGGCAACTGTCAGGACAGACACCAGCAGGCAGTGAGAAAACAGTGCCGGACAGAGAAGGAAGTGGAACTAAGATGCAGCTTCGGGGACATTTCAGAAGATCGCATGGACGCTCTGAGAGGTCGTGTTTGTGACAAAGAGCCAGACATTTATGGGCCATGTTTGAACAGTCACTGGATACAGGCTGTCACCTGGGATGATGCGTAACCTTAGGCACCTTAGGCTTTCTTCAAACAAAGCCATTCCTGGAATTGGAATCATCTGTGTACTGTGACCACCAGCATTCCCTGAAGCTGGTGAAGCTTGAGTGTGTCAATAACAAAGCACAGGCCATTGCAAACATGGAGGAGGGGCATTGGAGTTAGACTTCAGTTGGAATACAGGTGCCACATGTTGTAGGATGTTAGGAAAGTCAGTTATGCTCTCTAAAACTATTTGTTCATTAAAGGAAATTATTGGTCTTCCCTGCATGG